TATTTACATTTATAAAATATTTATAAAATTGGTATGTTTCCAATAAGTCATGAATTTATGAAAAATGTATAAAATTAAAGCTATATTTTAGTATCTTCTAATTACAAAATAAGTTTATGGCTAAATCTCACCTTACCTGTTCCTCATTCATTTCCTATAAAAATATGAATTTGTATGGAAATTCGTTATTTAATTATATCCATTTAACCCTTTGCACTCAGCGATTTTTTCAATACAAAAAATAGCAATTTGAAAATTTTCTGTTATAAAGTCGACGATATTTTCAAAACGGAAAATGAGAAATCGTATACGAATTTACACGTAAAGTTATTTTACTTCGACATTCCACGCATCGTTGAATTATTTCAAATATGATATTTTAATTAACATCAATCTTTGGAATTTGATTAAATCGTAATTGAGGACCGCCTCTCGAGTGCAAAGGGTTAATATCGATTCCACATTCATTTCGCTGAATTAAATATCAAATTTCTTTGCAAATTCCTTCTGAAGCATTATCAAAAATGCCTTCAGCCAAGATATACATTTTAAATACTAAAGATATACTGAATGACCAGTTAGATATGTTGATATTAAATTATCAGATTGCGATTTATCCCCTCTCCTCCATACATACATAGGTAGTCGGTAATCTGAAGTTAATAAGGTATAAATATTACTCCGTCTGAGTTAAGTAGATAGTGTCCCACTCTCAAGCGTGCGTTCTACTGTGCATTAACTCGTTTTATACTTCGTTTTATTGGGATTACACTTTGTTCCGAAAATTAGTTCCGTATAAAGAATGGCAAGTACAAAAGTTTGTGCGCAAATAACTCTGTTCTTAAATCTACTTGTGTGGTTAACGACAGCTAAGTATCAACTGGAATCAGTGCAAATTGTGAGTACATGTTTAGGTAGTACCTAATCAAAATAATTGGACTATAGAAAAATATAATTGTTATAAAAGCTATCGTAGGATGCCGAAAATGAGTTTTAATTTCGCCTTCAGTTTTCGAAATGAACATGTACAGTGGCTCACGAGAGTATTTGCTATACAAATTTTAGGAGAGTACTCGAATTCAAAAATTCTGATTTTAATGGAAGTATACGCGTACTTAAAGCATAACGAGCTGCACATGGTACGATTTTTCTTATTTGCAAATATCATTTCACGTGGGCGAAATCGTTACTCAAAGTCACAGCCTGATCTCTGTCTTTTAAATGTAACTGTACAACGATGCGAGATAAAGGAAAACTTTTCGAATGAAAAACGTTAAGATTTTGGTGCTCTGTTGCTCTATAGTAAAACTTTCTTCCATGTGAGACCCCGTTTGAGAATCAAAAGAATTGTCAAAACTTCAGTCGACGATTTTACCCCCTCAAAATAATTTTCTACCAACAAAAAGATCACTGCACGCGTAACTTGTAATACTTTATGTGCACACGAACTTTCATTAAAATCAAAATTTTTGTGTTAGAGAATTCTTTTGAAATATACCCTTCGAATACTTTCGCGAGGTAGTGTATATATTTCTTCTTCTTATCGAAGGAATATCGAATCTACGTGAACGATTTGAGACGCCGAAAAATGAACAGAATAAAACAAAGAAAAATAGCAAAACTCTAACTAAACTTAAGTAAAAAAATAATATAATAAGGATAACGCAATTTCATCGCACGGAAAGCACAGGCTTCTTTTAATCTCTCTACCTCTCTCTCTCTCACTCTCGCTCCTTCTCTCTCCTTCTCTTTTTCTCTTTCTCTGATACCGAACACGCGTCCGGCACCTGTCACAGATTATATTTCCAAGGATTCCTCAGGACTCCTCGTGTGTTGTTCCGTCGTGGAAGAAAGAAGACCCGTCACGGTCTTCCAACAACCAGGTCTTAGGGTCAAATAATTCGGCATCGGAATTTCCCTCTCCATGCCTTCAGCATGTTTGACTGCTTTACCTTTTTTCTTTGACTTCTCGTGTCGCGGAACACGAGAATCCTGGAAATCCCTAATTTAACGAAATTAGGCGACGGCTCTTAAGACTTGGCTGACAATAGGCCTGAGGGCTCCACGTGGTCCGCACACGTTGGAAGCCTCAGGCCCTCGCTAGGGGTAACAAACGACCGATGGGGTCACCAGCGCGCGAGTAGACCCCAGGTACCCCACCTTGGAGGAAAGGGTTTCCTCCGCTATCGTTGCTTTTTGGGGGAACCTTCCCTTTCTCCAAGGTCACCGATTTGCGAACCAAGGGAACGCCCTTGGTCAAAAACAGCCAATCATATTTGGCGAGCTCCCGATTTTTCCTAAGGCCGATCTTAGGAAGATCGAGGAGCTCAGTTCCGTACGAGATCCGGGAGACACGGGTTCTCTCAAAGACACTTCCTCTCGAAACATCGAACACACCGGTTCCTTCTAAACTCCTTCCTTTCGACACGTCAGAGACGACGGTTCTCTTCTAACACGAGACGATTTTCGTATCTCCTCGTTAAGTCGACGAGATACCGTGTCGCGTCGAACCGTCCATCCACATCGGGATATCTTCGCGCCTTACAACCGCGAAGACGAATTATTTCGGCGAAAACCACGCAACCAGGAAGATCAAGGGAACGACGCGATACCCCCTTGATACCTTCAACATGTGTCATCGAGAACCCTCCTTTATGCCCTCTGATGAGCTTGATGAGACGTTTAATCAACCGTTAATTAACTAATACGATTCAGCCAATTCATTCAGTCGATTCGTGATTTGCCCCCCTGCGAAGACTACGCGACTCTGCCAATTAGCGATTTATTTTCGAAAAATAGGGTCCTACATTTGTAAGAATATATAAGATTGGGCGAGCTCCGGTTACCGATAAGGCGGCGTGAGTGAGGAGCACGTAATAATGATAACCGGGGTCTCAAATCGAAACGGCGATCCCCTTGATCCGCGATCAATGAACAAAGGAGGCCCGTCCTTAAAAGGGCAGGTCGCGAAGCGTACGAGGCAATGCTTAGGCAGTTGTTAGACAGAGTTTAGACAGTTCCTAGAGAGTGGTTGGGAGAAGTTATTGAGAGACAGTTATTAGGAAGGAGTATTAGTGGCTAGTTCTTGTTAGAATATTATTAGACACCCCTTGCACATTGGCATTGGCCGATTCGTGACTTATTTCCTAACAAATAGGTTCCTACGATATGTTCTTTTTTAAATAAACGAAGTTATAGATAATGTTTCGAGATTTTCTTATTCTATTTGGAGTAATAAAATTTTTGGTTCTGATAGGAATAGTTAACCCACTCGAGATGGTTAACAGTGAATATGGTCTCCACTGCTGACATGTAAATTTGGTATACCAGTCAGTCAGTTCGCAATGACACGTCATTTGACCATGGCAAGCATCTGTGTAAACACAGATATTTAAATATGTACTGTCTGTTCTAAATGACTTAGCAATAGATTTATTTAGTGTATATAACCGATCAAAATTTGGAATTGCTATGTCTTAAATAAAATATATCTGTTTAAGAAATAGTCAACACGGAATTTTATTACCTAAAGACACTTTTTAGTCGAGACAATGTTTTTAGCCAAATATTTCAAGATACAAGTAACCCTTCTATAACACTGCATCCTATAACATGGTTTCACTATAACGCGATTTGTAAATTGCGGGAACCCTCCTACAACACGGCATCCTATAACACGGTTTCGCCTTAACACGATAAGAAAATTGCAGAAACCTTTGTACAACACTGTACTTCTACAGCCGTGGCGAAGCATGCCGTCTTAACCGTTTGAGTCCTAGAGACTTTTGAAAATACCCGAATGGCGCGATAGTTTTGAAAGTGAAGGCGATATCGTCCCACCGAAGAAACGTTCTCGGTTGATTATACTGAGCAGTGATGACGAAGAAATTTATTAAATTAAAGTTGCGTTAAATTAAAATAATATTTTTGTTTTTTTTTGTTTTGTGTTGTACATACATTTATATTTTTAATAAAAATTAAGTTGTTTATGTAGAATTAAAAAAAAAATTTGTTTTTAATAAGTTTCCAAAACGTAACCCCCCTCTTTGTACTGGTAATGATAACCGGGGTCTCAAATCGAAACGGCGATCCCCTTGATCCGCGATCAATGAACAAAGGAGGCCCGTCCTTAAAAGGGCAGGTCGCGAAGCGTACGAGGCAATGCTTAGGCAGTTGTTAGACAGAGTTTAGACAGTTCCTAGAGAGTGGTTGGGAGAAGTTATTGAGAGACAGTTATTAGGAAGGAGTATTAGTGGCTAGTTCTTGTTAGAATATTATTAGACACCCCTTGCACATTGGCATTGGCCGATTCGTGACTTATTTCCTAACAAATAGGTTCCTACGATATGTTCTTTTTTAAATAAACGAAGTTATAGATAATGTTTCGAGATTTTCTTATTCTATTTGGAGTAATAAAATTTTTGGTTCTGATAGGAATAGTTAACCCACTCGAGATGGTTAACAGTGAATATGGTCTCCACTGCTGACATGTAAATTTGGTATACCAGTCAGTCAGTTCGCAATGACACGTCATTTGACCATGGCAAGCATCTGTGTAAACACAGATATTTAAATATGTACTGTCTGTTCTAAATGACTTAGCAATAGATTTATTTAGTGTATATAACCGATCAAAATTTGGAATTGCTATGTCTTAAATAAAATATATCTGTTTAAGAAATAGTCAACACGGAATTTTATTACCTAAAGACACTTTTTAGTCGAGACAATGTTTTTAGCCAAATATTTCAAGATACAAGTAACCCTTCTATAACACTGCATCCTATAACATGGTTTCACTATAACGCGATTTGTAAATTGCGGGAACCCTCCTACAACACGGCATCCTATAACACGGTTTCGCCTTAACACGATAAGAAAATTGCAGAAACCTTTGTACAACACTGTACTTCTACAGCCGTGGCGAAGCATGCCGTCTTAACCGTTTGAGTCCTAGAGACTTTTGAAAATACCCGAATGGCGCGATAGTTTTGAAAGTGAAGGCGATATCGTCCCACCGAAGAAACGTTCTCGGTTGATTATACTGAGCAGTGATGACGAAGAAATTTATTAAATTAAAGTTGCGTTAAATTAAAATAATATTTTTGTTTTTTTTTGTTTTGTGTTGTACATACATTTATATTTTTAATAAAAATTAAGTTGTTTATGTAGAATTAAAAAAAAAATTTGTTTTTAATAAGTTTCCAAAACGTAACCCCCCTCTTTGTACTGGCCCTGAGTCTCATACAACACGGTTTCATACAACACGGCATTTTCTAGGAACCTATATACCGTGTTATAGGAGGGTTACCTGTATTATTTCCAAATATAAACTCCAAAAATAACGTGATATTATGTAATATTCAAAATAAGTTATTGCTCTGTTGACGAACAAAGTGTCGCTTTTTCCTATATTTTGCATTAATCTTATAGTTTTACCATCCTTTGGATGCATATAACGAACTACCTTATATTATATTTTAACTTAAAACTCCTTAAAACTATTTTACCTCATTACCTTAAAGCTACTTTACTTGAAAACTACTTCAAACTATTTCATATTAGTTGAAAATTGCTTCAAACTACTGAAGAGACCTGGGTGGTGGTTGGTGAATGAAACTACTATTTATTAATAATAATAATAAATAAAATAAAATAAATAATAATAAATATTTATTATTAATAATAATAAAGAATTAACAATGTGTGGTGACGATTAAGCATACGAATCTATATCAACTACAACTTGAGATTACAACTCAATTCAACAACAGAATGACAACTCAGCCAGTTATAACTAATGGCTCAACTAAAATACAACTAAACAACTACCAACTAATAACCCCTCTCTACACAACTCTGTTCTGGTCACTCCTAAGACTGTCCCTAAGACTCTCT